GGTTTTTGAGTGTTCTTGCATCATAGATCCTGAAAGTTTATTTTATTAAGGTCTGGCGTAACTGCCACTTGCGAATATTTGTTGTTGTGGAGCAGGATGACAACAAGGCGCAAATGAGACAGGACATGGAGAAATTTCTGTACGAAATGCGCATTGATGCTCGCTTGACGGTATACTGTTTTAGTGCTAATTTGGTGGCACCAGGCATAGTGCACTGGTGTATATCACCGAGTCAAACCCGCTATTGGCTTGCTTCCAAAAAGAGAACAATTGATAGCCTAGCCAATGGCTTGATGCTCTTGTAATTTGCCAAATTTTCGGAATGCTTCAAAGTGCTTCGTCTCCATCAGAGCATTTGGTGACTAAAAAACACAATGTAATATAACAAACGTCAGTTTCATGTTGCTAACATAATGAATTCGAATCTGTCAGTGAGGCAACTGATCCCTCTACGACTCGCTCATTCGATTCAATTAAAAAATAGATGCTGGAGCATACTAGAGTCGCAGCTGCCAATCACAACAGCAAGGGAACTTGGGAAGAAGCACATAACGATACTGTTGTGATAAGTTAGCTCAAAAAAGCGCAGAGGAACCTGGAGGTTAAACTGGCTGAAAGTGAAGGTGATCTTCGTCAATTTTTTGGTTTTTTTTCAGCTGGTTGAATTTGCAACGCCAGACATTTCGGCATACGAAATACAGCGATCTCTGGAAATTGACTATTCGAATTTTTCAAAGAAGAAACGATCTACAATGGTAAGGCATTATAGGGCGAACCAAGGTTCGAGAGAAAACCGAGGGCGAAAAAGAGGAAGAGCCGACAATTTTAATTCATTAATTGGTTTTAAAAAGAACAACCTTTAAAAGTATTGGTTTTTTTAGGCACAAGTGATCGTGGACCAGTACCGCAAGCAGAGGAAAAGCATAGCAACAACAAGTTTGTATCAAATTTTCATCTAACAAAACAAGCGACACTGCATAGAAAGTCTTGAATCCCTCACCTGTGGCCGAACATCCACAAAAACAAACAAAATTTCCGAATCACAGCTGTGACATTCGTGGTGATCGGTGTCCTGGGACAAAATTTCCATCTGGAGCAGTGCTGCCTGATCAGCGCAGCTGGCCGAAAAAATTTAATTTTCTCAGAATGCGCTCATCACCAAATGCCTTCTTTATCAAAGTGGTGCATGAAATGTCATCATATTTGCTAATTTGAAATTTGCTTGGTATTCCAGGGCCTAATCTCGAAATGAAGCTTGCAGATTTGCAAGCACAGGTACAGATGGAGAAATATTTTGCGGAAACTTCTGGAGAAGGCCATTATTTGGATCGACCGCAGTTACTGTCTCCACAGAAGTCAGCTTCAGATTTTTTTTTTGTCTTACTGCTTTGTTAATTTATTTTCCTTAGATTATACTGGTAAAATTTCCCGCAATTTTACTCAGCTTAAACACAACTATTGGGGAATTTTTCCTCCTTTGCCGCGTCTTCTTTGTTATAGCTCACTGTGTGATGTTTGTTCCATGATCATCGCTAAACTGTCGATCTAATCTGTAATTCAAAAATTTTAATTTCAGAATTTTTTCTTAAGATTCGATTTCGAAATTCATTATTCTATTTGTTTGAAACTGGCACAGCTGCACAAATGCAACCCTCAGAAATTCAGCGCATATCAAAGTAACAAAAAATTGCACTCTTGAAAGACCCGAGGCAATCATGATCATTGATTCTAGATTTTTTTGTGTTTTTAATTGTAAAGGAGTAAATATTGCAGCAAGCCACTCGAAACGATGAGTGAAGAAAGTGAAACGCGCGAGCGTCAGTTCACGTTCTCGCCGCAGCAGTTGAATGAAACCCTACCTACACCGAATGCCGATAATCGCACATGCTCATTTGCCTCAGCACAACGTTTAGGAAATCATTCTACGCAGGTTTTTGCTGTTACTCGATTCATACGTTTTGAAACGGTTACAAGTTTAATGATGATTTTTCAGTGGTGTAGTAGCCGACAACCATGCCATTTTCTTTTTCCTTCATTTTATGGTTGTTTTGACCGGTGCAGCAACAGCTTGCAGTTAGCCTTCTGGAGATGCACATCCTTTTGCCAATTGAAAAGATTTTAGACACAGGGGCTCTCTTGACGGGTGCACTTTGGCAAGCCTTTAACAACTTGGAGGTTTAACGATGAGTTTTAAGTGCCATTAAATCGCTCCAAGTTTTATCACTCTTAGACTGTACTGAAGCAGTTAGTCATTTCAGCGAAGTATCTTGATGTTTATTGCTATATCACGAAAAGTAATGATTTGAAAAATAACTACAGAGCACCAAAGAATTGAAAACAATAACATAGAACAGAGAAAAAGTAAAAGAATCTGTAAACTACAAAAAGTGCAGTAAGGAAACAATGATAAACTATTGAAAATAATAATCCTGTGAAGTCTGTAATAACGTAAACAATATTAAATTCGCTTATCTATAAAATTTGAGAATGACGTGAGAACCACGAATAGCCAGAGTTGTAAATTCAGATTTCAAATTTTGATCAGCACCCAAAACGAAAAACTTTGGAAGATTGGAGTACTTCGAAAAAAATGGGATTATTTTATTGAGAATTTTCAGCGAGTGACAAGTGAAGCCCATTCAGCGGTACGCCTGAATGCGAAAATTTTCGAGCAGTCGAACACTAGTGCTCTGGTTGTGTTGAACCTCCCGGAGCCACCGAAAAAAGAATCTTCTCTTGGCAACTACATGGAATATCTCAGTGTGCTCACCCATAAACTGCACCGCGTACTTTTGGTTCGTGGCAGTGGTACCGAAGTGATTACAATGTACTCATAAATTCAACAGTGATAATTGTACTTACTACTAATTTTGTTATGTTTGATGTTAGTCTATTACGAAGTATCCCTCGTTTTGTGCACAAAACAATAGGCAGTGCTTTCCCAGATATAATAATTAATGTGTTTTACGAAAATTCCGTGTAAAACCGATACAAATTTGGCATGCATTCCTAGTGATGCAATGGTATGCCTTTTGCAAACTTAAAATTCCTACCTCCGAATTAATACTTGCCAATCTGGCCTCTTCCACATCATTATTTTTTTAAATCATGAGTCAATTTCAATTTTCTGCCTCGGGCAAATTTGTTGCATGACAGGAAAAGTATTTTCTTTGTAGCTCAAGCCATCCCAATCCTACCACTGAATAATGCACCTCTCTAAATTCCTTTTTTACTTCGACGCAAAGTGGTACTTAATTCTAGCCAACAAGACCACCTTCAGAGTGTTTTTGTTGAGTTACCCGTCGTAGGTTCATTGATTGCTTCGCCAGCGAATGCTGATGTTGATAAATATTTTTTGTACTGTTACCGTTGTTTGGATCACTTTCCGCGGAATCGCGCTCGAAAAAGTGACTTTCGAAGTGCGATTTGTCTGTTTGATTGTTTCGCTTTATTTACGCAAAAGAAACATTTCCTGTCATTGTCCTGCACGTAATTAGCAGTTCACTTAACGTCGTTGCACAGCGTGTGCAATTTTTTTAAGATCACACGATAAATATCTGTTTCTTAGTAAGCAAAGTGCTGAAGACAAGCTTTGGTAAATAATTTTTTTACTATAATAAAGTTAAATGAGAAAAGGCGCTCCCTAAAAACCAATTGGGGCGCTTCTCAAAATAAAAAGCCCTGCCAGTCGTATCTGCTGCTGGCGCTTGCTGCTTCTCCTTCTGTCTTTTGAGTATCATCTTTCAGCTACCTTCATACCGTCGAAAGTGAACATAGGGAGGGTTCTTCTTAATTTCCCGCATGACCACAGTAAAATAATACTAGAAAGAAAAAACCTACTATCAGGAATTAGATTTTTTTGTGAAAAAATAAGAACTGTACTGATACGAGACAGTGCAAAAATAGAAATTAAGAAAATTTTCACCATTAATTACAAATGAAAAACTGCTGTTTAGCTTAAGTATGGTGAACTGGCCAAACTTGCCGGATTCTGCAGAATGCGCTTTCAGGATTTCCACGCACAAGTGGAACTTGTCCGTTTTTAAAAACGAAACTTTGCTTAATGGCTCATCTGATTG